ACAGTCTAATGGAACAGAATAGAGATCCTACAAATAAATCCAGGCAGATATGGTAAACTGATCTTCAACAAGAATGACAAAAATACACCATAAGGAAAAGATGGTCTCTTAAACAATGACACTGGGAAAACTGAATATCCATAAGCCAAATGATAAAAAAGAGACTCATTGTACAGTATCGTTTAAAAATCAATTCAAAATTAATTAGAGATTTAAAGACAAAGACCTACAATTGTAAAACTTTCAGTAGAAAACATACAGGAAAAGATTCATCACATTGGCCTTGGCAGTGATTTCATAGATACAACACCAAAATCACAGGCAACTAAAGACAAGTAAGTCAAGTGGAATGATGCCAAACGAAAAACTTCTACACAGCAAAGGAATCAATCAACAGAGTAAAAGATAACCAGCATGATACGATTTGGCTGTGTCCCTACCCAAATCTCAACTTGAATTGTAGCTTCAGTAATTCCTATGTGTTGTGGGAGGGACCTGGTGAAAGATAACTGAATCATGGGGGCAGTTTCCCCAATACTGTTTGCTTAGTAGTGAATAAGTCTCATAAGATCTGAGGGTTTTATAAGGGGAAACCCCTGTCACTATGTTTTCATTCTCCCTTGTTTGCCACCATGTAAGACATGCCTTTCACCTTCCACCATGATTGTGAGCACTTCCCAGCCACATAGAACTGTGAATCCATTAAATCTCTTTTTCTTTATAAATTACTCAGTCTCGGGTATGTCTCTATTAGCAGCTTGAGAACAGACTAATACACAGCAGAAAAGGAGAAAATATTTATATATAATGTATCTGATAAGAGACTGATACTCAAAATATATAAGGAATTTCAACTTAATTTCCAAAAACAAATAATCTAATTTAAAATGGGAAATAAGAATTGAATAACCATGAAAAAATGTTGAGCATCATAATATCATTAAAGGATTGCCGATTAAAACAACAGGAGATTACGATACACCTATTTAGGATGCCAAACTGAAACATTGACAAGACAAAATGCTGGTGTAGGTATGGAACAACAGAGACTCTTATTAGAAAATATTATTATTAGAAGCTCTTGGTTTGAGAATTCTCTACCAAGGCAAAATAGTATAGTCACTTTGTAAGGCAGTTTGGAAGTTTTTTTTTACAAAACTAAGCATACTCTTACCATATAATCCAGCAATCATGCTTCTTTGTATTTACCAAAAGCAATTGAAAACTTATGTCATACAAAAACTGGTACTCATATGTTTACAGCAAGTTTACCCAGAAATGCAAAATGTGGAAGCAATCAAAATGTCTTTGGTAGGTGAATGTATAAACAAACTATGGTACATCCACACAACAAAATAATGTTCAATGCTAAGAAGAAATGAGCCATTAAGTCATAAAAAGACATGGAAGCACCAGGCAACATGGCTCACACCTGTATATTTTGTTAAACAAAATTTTCAAAGAACCCTTAAGACTCAACAATTAAAAAGGCAAGCAACCCAGTTTTAAAAACACTAGTCAAAAAATCTCAAAAGACACCTCACCAAGGAAGATATATATAGATAAGAAATGAGGATATAAAATGATGTCATAGAGAATTACAAATTAAGACAATGAGTTATCACATATAACTACTTGACTAGCTAAAATCTAAAACACTGACAAGACCAAATGTTAAGGATATGTTTAATTTCACTACCCATATTTAATCGTCCTAAAAATGTGTTTAAGTCATCCTAAAGGAGACGTTGCCTTGGTCACCTGGTTTGGGGGTAAGATCACTCCCCAGCCAAAGAGGAACTCAGCAGAACCATTTGAGCATTTCTCTATGAACACAGCAAATATGGGCATACCAACACTTTTAATCTAGCAGTTAATGCCTTGTATGCAGACATCTTCTGCTCTTCTGGAGAAGAATGTGTTTTAGAAATGAAGGAATAATGTAACTTGGAATAAGTACATTGAAGCCTTAGGTGCCTCTATGAAGTCTTTTAAAAAGTATTGGTCACAGTACAACAGCATCCATTTTGAGGAATAATTTAAAAGTTTAGAGGGGAAATTTCAAAATAATTTTCTCAAACTTAAGACAAAAGTTTTTGTTGTTGTTGTTGTTGTTGTTGTGGCCAGGCACCGCAGCTCATGCCTTGTTTTTTGTTTTTTGCATTATTGATATGTTTGAATTATCAATTTATGCATGTGCTCCTTTATAGTTTAATGCAGACCAGGTCATCCAGTTGGTTATATTATGTACTTTTTGGTTTCCTCCTTTTCATGTCATTGTATTATGGAAAGAAAACTAATAAAAGTCTACTTTAAAAATTGGTATTTCTGATATCCCTAAAAATGTATTTCCTGTGTCATCTGAATGGTCACTAACATAAGAGTAAAATTAAAAAATGTGGGTTAATACAGAGTGATAGAAAGAACCAGATAGAAAATACCAGCTGGGGAAAGATTCTGTTGCATTTTTGGAAACATGGAGATGGGCATTATTAGATAACTGACTTAGCAGGGTGGGGGAGGTTCCAGTCATCTGAGTAAACAGAGAAAACTAGCAAACTAGTTCACCTGCAAAGTTCCTGAGATGGGCCGGGCACGGTGGCTCAAACCTGTATTCCCAGCATTTGGGAGGCCGAGGTGGGTGTATCACCTGAGGTCTGGAGTTCAAGATCAGCTTGATCAACATGGCAAAACCCTGTCTCTACTAAAAATACAAAAAATTAGCCAGGCATGATGGCTCATGCCTGTAGTCCCAGCTACTTGAAAGTCTGAGACAGGAGAATCACTTGAACCTGGGAGGTGGAGGTTGCAGTGAGCTGACATCGCTCCACTGTCCTACAGTCTGGGCAACAGAGCGAGACTCCATCTAAAAACAAAACAAAACAAAAAAACTCCCAAGACACTGAAGACTTGGCTATAGTTGCAATAATTGTCCAGTTACAGTTATCCTTGGTTGTGCAAGTGCTAAGAGAGATTCCACTACATTCTCTGTGTTCTGGATACAGTCATCTCTGTCCTAATCTATACTAACAACTCTAGCTACTCCCAACAAACAGAACCAAGTACTGCAGCCAGAACAGTAACTCTTTTTTATCTGCTGATTTACTCATATAAGGGGCGCTATTTTGTGGTTCCTACTGTGTTTCTACAGCTTTCCTGGCAAATACATTTTCCTCTCCAGAAACCAGGACCTGTATCCTGGTGAAACTAAAGACTCTAAAAGTGAGTTCCTGGGAGTGTTGACAATGGTAAACACTTCACTTTCACCACTTGGGTCTAAGAATGATGTATATTAGTCTGTTAGGCAAATGGGGACCCCACACCATATATAGCATCAGTTCAGTGTTCAGTGCATATACTGAATCCTGAGGACAGCATCCCAAATCCTCACAGAGATGGCTTCTGGCTAGTTTCTTAATCGAACTCTTAACAGGCTTTTTCTATCAGGCTGGCTGCTCATGGGTAATAGGTTACACGGTAGAATCAGTGAATTCTGAGATCATGACAACACTTTCTTATCTCCTTTGTCCACAAATGGGTAACATGTTCTCAGCAATGATTAAAGCATATTATGTCAATGTATCCCTCAGGCTGCAAGCCACCAATTGCTGGTGTAGGTGAAGGTATTTTTGGAGATGGGAGGCAAACCTGTATCTAAAGTATTTATCATTTCTGATGACAAATTACTGTCACCTTCAGGGTGAAAAAGGTCTGATATCGTCAACTTGCTGCCAGGTGATGACCATTTTCCCAGAGGATAGCATCATATTGAGTGTTCAGGCATGGCATCTGCTACTGGCAGGTTGCACACTCAGAGGTGGCAGAAGGTAGATCAGCATCTAAGGCAGGGAGTCCATAACACTGTGACTAGGCGTAACCTGCATGCTTGTCACTACAGATGCTCTGCTCATGTGCTATCATTTGGATAGCCTTAGGCTGGATAGATAGAACACAGTTCACCCTGATCACCTGGCTAGTTAAAGCCTATTCTCTTCTACATCTTTCTAGTTAGTTCCCACTCCAATAGAGCTGTTCACACAAATGTTTCATAGACTACCTTGCCTAGTGTTTTCATCTTCCAGTTGGATAAAAAACCCAGGCATTTGCTGCTACCCTTGAGTCAATGTATATTGTTAATAGGATATTTCTCCCTATATACAAAGCAGAAAAAGTGTGTCAGGTCTCCGTCCACTAGCACAATTTCCCTATGCTACTTACCTGTGAGACTTCCTTTGAATTGCTCTGTGAAGGGCAGCTGTTCTATACAATTGATGTCAATGAATTGAGGTGACTTGTCTGAAAACCAGACCAAAATCAGTCCCTTCTCTGTCAGTTGATTATACAGTACTCCCAATGAGCCCATACATGTGAGTTGAGAGAGGGGCTTTGATTTAGCATGTTACAGTGTAATAGGATCAGAATCATCCATTTGTTCATGAATTACTCTTCCCTTCTGACACACTCAGTCCCAGGTCTTATCAGTTTTGGCTGGTGTACCCTCAAGAACTTAATTAAGTCTTGTTGAATTCAATAATATCAATAATTTCATAATGGGTTGCAGTTGAGGTTGAAGTTTTTTTTTAATATTCTTGGTCAGTCACTCAGTATCTTTTATACTTGTTATGTAAAAGTGAGCTTGTTTTATCCTCTCTATATGAAGGGAGAGAAGTATGCATTTACCTAGTGTCAATGTTTCCATAATCAAATTGAATATAAAGTACTCAGGAAAAGGAGCAGTGATTGAGACATCATTATTTTCCATCATAAAACATGTGCTTTTAGCATGAAACAAACAAGTTAATAAAAAAGACAAAAGGCGATAGCAATTTCCACTGCAGAAATATACCTCTCATCTAAACATCTCTACCTTCTCTGTTTAAGTTCCTCTCTTCTCCATTGTATAGAAATCTCACTACAATAATTTATATCTTGATAACCTATTTATTTTTCTAATTCTAAAAATATGCCTCTAGGTTATCAGATACTTTATTGAGTCTGTTGTTTCAAATTTCCTGCAACCAACTGGTTACACTCTTTATTTCCAGCCCACATAGTATCTCTGCCTTAATTTGAGTTATCTATCCTACAGTCATAATATCCTTCTAATATGAACAAATTACTGTAATTATTATGGTTTGAGAGAAACATTAATAGTCCTCCAAATTAGAAGGGATCAAATTAGGACCAAAAAGTGATTTTACAAAAATAATAATTATATGACTATAACCCCAACAGTGATAGTCTTCTTAAGATCAAGAACTCTTTCAGTGATAGTCTTCTTAAGATCAAGGGTAAATTTTCTTTCTGTGTTCTATCACGGTTCTAGAAGTATCGAGGTGAATTTATGGAAAGATTTCAGCATACAGCTCAAAGAATTGAAAGGGAGATTACCTAGGCCATGTATACCATTCCTTACAACATAAAGCTTCTACAATTATTGAAATATGGTACTTTCTGTTGAGTCAGGAAGAGCAACTAAGTTGATCATGAGGTATAAAGAATCTAACATGTCTAATAAAGAAAACCATTAAGAAGGGGAAAAACCTGTTAGACAGTTGACATATAGATAGGTAACTATTAGCAGTGAATTCCAGAAGTAAACATGGAGAAGAACAGGCAAACTGCAGATCTAAACCACAAGTGACACCAAGCAGCCAGGAGTACCAGAGACAGCAGTGAAGGCAATGAGCCTTACATATCTGTTTGTACGGCATGCTGCCTTTTCAGCCACATAAAACTAACTCAACATTAACCAGTGTTATTTGTCCACCCTGTCTCTTGTCCCAAAGGAACTAACCCTCATGCACCATGACAAGATTACATTAAATCAACAATAAGAAGATAATATTCTCTATTGATTTCTTCTAGGGCACTCCAAACTTGAAGAAGGATTTGAAATCTTCATTTATTTTTTGTCATCTGTGATCAATTTCTTGCTCCATAACTTCCTCATGGCACTTTTCACTTCTGTGTTCCTCAGGGTATAAATCAGAGGGTTGAGCAAAGGTGTTCCAAGTGTATAAAACACAGCTATCATCTTATCCATGGGGAAGGTGGTGGCAGGCCGTGTGTATATAAATATGCAAGGTCCAAAGAACAAGATGACCACAATGATGTGGGAAACACAGGTGGAAAGGGCTTTCTTTCTCCCTTCAGCACTGTGGTTTCTCAGAGAATGCAAGATGACGCCATAGGAGAACATCAGCATGACAAAACTCACTGTACAAATGGCCCCACTGTTGGTAACCAGGAGTAGGTTGACCACATAGGTGTCTGAACAGGCAAGTTTCAACAAGGGCTGCAAGTCACAGAAATAGTGATCGATCACATTGGGGCCACAGAAAGGCAAACTCAGGGCAAGAAAAATCTGAGCTAAGGAATGCACGCAGGATCCCACCCAGGCTGCAGCCATCAACACACCACAGGCCCGGTGGTTCATGATGGTCATGTAGTGCAGGGGCTTACAGATGGCCACATAGCGGTCAACAGCCATGAGGATAAGGATGAAGATCTCCAGGCAGCCAAAGAAATGGGATGAAAAGACTTGGATCATGCACTCGCTGAAGGAGACAGTTGTCTTCTTCAAAAGGGCATCCGCAATCATTCTGGGGGCTATGGAAGTAGAGAGGCAGGTATCAGATAAGGATAAGTAGAAAAGAAAGAAGTACATTGGGTTCTTAAGTGCCTGGCTGGTCTTGACGATAATAATAATTAGCAAATTACCCAACAATGTGCCCAAGTAGAGAAGCAAAAACATAACAAACACTATTTTCTTCCAAAAAGGATCCTGTGTCAATCCAAGCAGAATGAACTCAGTCACATTATTATTCAGTTGCATGGTTCTCATGAGTGAGGTGATGGGGCAAGTGTGAAATGATCTATCTGCAAAAAATAAAGGAATTAATTTGTAGTGTGCTATGTGATTTTATGGAATATTTTATGCAAAATTAAATATTTCCTATCAGATACATTCTGTTAGTGATTTCTTAAAAAGTCACTTCAACACTTTGTTTCATAATTTTAATGACCACGTCATGGGGTTATTATGAGACTCAAACGTGCTTATGAACATAATACGTTGGTATAGCATTCTTCAAATACAAGTCTTGGTTTGCTTTAGCATCATTCTAATTAATTTTTTCAGTTCAATGCATGTAAATGTAACAGGTATGGATCTATTTTAATATTAACTTCATTTTTTTCATTTTCAATTTTCAGGCCACTTTTTGCATCGTGTATCATTCAACATTTAAGATATATTTGACTGCTCTTGAAATTTCATGATACAAAGACCTACACCACCACCACTCTATAGATAATATTAATACATAGTTTATACATTACATATTCATTGTATATATTTATATAAATATATGTTATTTATGAATACTTAGTATGCTCCACTTCTCTGCAAAATTTCTCCCAGATATTCCAGATTATAAAAAGTAAAACCCTTATAGCCTCTAAATAATCTGTTGCTACATTGATGTGTCCTTATAATATTTAGTACTGACATATACTAATAAACAGAAATGAACGTTCTTAGAAAATTGGATATCTCTTTAATATCCCTATTTCTAATTTTCTTCCTCTAATTTATTAAAAGCACCCCTAGAACACTCAGAATCCTTGAGGTTATGTTTAAATGGAATGAGGGTTGAGTATAGTATTACTACTCAATTGTTTGTTTTCACGATTCAAGTGTTTAGCTTGAATCGTGAAAACAAGAAAGCATTTTATAACTGGGGTGGTTTGAAGGTTTATTATTGAACTAGATCATGTTTGTAATCCCCAGTAGAGTTTTTATTATCCAGACATCCAAAAACCACACATTCCTGGAACAGAGCAGAGATTTGGAAGAAAGAGGGTGATGTGATTTTAGAGAAGACAGAGTAGATAGTAACTGCCTTCTTCATTCAATTTATTTTCTTCTTCAACTTTGAAATGTCGCTTTTGCCAATGATTTGTTTTTTAAAAAATAATATAGAAACAAATATTATCAAAAGGCTTCTTGTTAAAGAAAAATTTTTCTCTTTAGATTTTTGTTGTCAAGGTGACACTAGACAGTACATATATGCAAATATAAACGAAAGTGTAATTTATTCAAATATAGTCTGGAAGCCTATTGTGTTTCTCCACATTCCCATCAATACTTTCAAAACACTGTGATGAGAGTTACAAGTTGGCCAAAACAGATACAATAGACAAAATAGGCACAAAATTCCCTTTATATATATTACTTCCTCTCCCCTGACGAATTTTCTTCTCCTCACCAGATCTGAAATATCCCTTATCTTCCTCCAAATAAAAAAAAATGCTCCCAGGAAAATGTCTGATGAAGTTATTCACTTTGGCATGCTAAGAATAAAACAGTATACACACACACACACACACACACACACACACTCCTGTAACACACCTGTAACATTTATTTGCAAGTACAGTCCAGGGAAGGCAGAATGCAGCTCTAAAACACACACATATATATATCTATATATATGCACACATATATGTATATTTTTGATATCTTTGGACTCTTTGGACTCTGTAATCTTTGAAAAGTATCTTAAACTGTAAGGGAACTGAGTTGGTATTTTAATCATTACAATAAGCTCATTTTTTTCTTAATTCATTTAAAAAGATAATTCATCATTAAGTATTTATGCTTGAAAATGCGGTAGGCATTTTCTAATACTTTAATACTTCTAATACTTTATGATTTTTGAGCACTCCTTTAAGGGTATAACCTTTGGTCTGTATATCAGCAATCCCATTAGACTATTCATTTCTAGATGTTCTAAATTATTTACCTTATATATTTGAACATAAAGTTTTTTAGATAAATTAAGGATTATAAATATATAATGTAATTAACTTGGTAATAATTATAGGTCTTCATCAAATATTTAGTGAATAGATTAGTCAATAATCAGAGTATGTCTTTTTCCCTGGAATTCCTTTCCATTTCTACCTACATCAACTATTGTAACATTTCAAAATACAACTGCAAAATAATTTCATCTAAGCAGCCTTCATCAATTGCCTCGTAATAAATCTCTGCAGCTTTCTAAAGGCTTCCCTTATTCTTTTCTCATGCTATTATATGTAATTGCTTAAACTAAATTATTTATGTATGCCTAGCTTCCATCCTGGAATAAGAATACTGGAAAGCTATGTGTTCTCTGGATGTTATTCTCCACTGTACCAAACCCAATCCCCATTATAATGTTGGTGCTTAGTGTTTTGTTTTGTTTTCTGTGCTATTGCTGTGCCACTGATGGTGCTTAGTGTTTCCTAATTGAACATTCTCTCTTCCTTTAACAATGCATTGATAGTATCTAATTAGTGCTATTCTGATGGCAAAACACATCCACATCATTGCTTATTGGGGATTTCTATGTATTATGAATGGGAGAATGACAAATATATTCCTCAAGCTGGAGATCAATTTCAGATAACTCCGTGAATTAGCTCCATGACTTGGAGTAGAAGATGTACTCTGCAAGGCATCACACGGCTAAGAAAGACTTGGGGACTCTGACTCCCATAAAAGTGATCATCTCAATAATTTGTTGGGTTTTTTTCTTTATATGAATCCTTGGCTCTTAAGAGATTCAAGGACAGCCTTAACGTTTTACATAGCCTTCTGATACTGCCGCACACTTTTGTGTATGTCTATCTATATGAGTCTACATCCGTTTTCTTTGCAGAGGAATGTTAACATCTGTCATCAAATTCTCAAGGGAAAAGACACAAAAGTGGGTTACAGTGGGTGAAGACAAAGCATCACCAGTAATACAGCACATGTTCTTATAACTCCTGCACTCTCCACAACTCTTCAAACAAGATAAGCCAACTTTAGATGGCTAGATACATTGATCAAAACAATAGTAAACAGACAATGTGTTTATGTTGGAGGTAACAGAGAATAGCTGAAAGAAAAGCGACCAGGAGGTGTTGAAGGGCAGATGGGAGTGGAATCCAGGGTTAGGAGGCTCCTCCTATGCTTCTTCGTGGTATTGCAGAGGCCACAGTGAGAAGCATTGTTTTCCTTAAGAAATGGATGTGGAGAAATAGGAACACTTTTACACTCTTGGTGGGAGTGCAAATTAGTGCAACTGCTGAGGAAGACAGTGTAGCAATTCCTCAAGGACCTAGAAATAGAAATACCATTTGACCCAGGAATCCCATTACTGGGTATATACCCAAAGAATTATAAATTGTTCTATTATAAAGACACATGCACACCTATGTTCATTGCAGCATTGTTTACAATAGCAAAGACCTGGAACCAACCCAAATGTCCATAACAATAGACTGAATAAAGAAAATGTGGCACATAGATACCATGGAATACTATGCAGCCACAAAAAATGATGAGTTCATGTCCTTCATAGGGGCATGGATGAATCTGGAAACCATAATTCTCAGCAAACTGACACAAGAACAGAAAACCAAACACCACATGTTCTCACTCATAGGCGGGTATTGAACAATTAGAACACATGGACACAGGGAGGGAAGCATCACACACTTCGGTCAGTTGGGGGTTGCTAGAGGAGGGACAGCGGGGACTGGGGAGGGTGGGGAGGGATAACGTGGGGAGAAATACCAGATATAGTATAGGTGACAAGGGGATGAAGGCAGCAAACCACCTTGCCATGCATTACCTATGCAACAATCCTGCATGTTCTGCACACGTACCTCAGAACCTAAAGTATGATTAAAAAAAAAAGAAAGAAAAATAAAATAAAGAAGAAAAAAAATAAATCTCTTAAACCACCAAATTCTCCCTAAATCAGTTATACTTGACTTCTATATTTAAGAGAATCTGTATCCTCACTAACATCTTTGCATAATTTATCATTCTCTGCAGTTAATAAACCAGGTTGTCCCAAGCTGCTGTATCCCCCAAATTCTTAAATCCAAGTGTGTTATAATCTACTCTCCTTGAGTTCCTTCCCATATATAATTGAGTCTCATGATTTCTGCTATCAAATCAAGGAATGCTCTTCAAAACAACCTGGCCATAGAATCAAATTATAACATTTATTTTTTTTTCCCCATTTATTTATTTTATTGTATTTTAGGTTTTGGGGTACATGTGAAGAACATGCAAAATTGTTGCATAGGAACACACATGGCAGTGTGATTTGCTGCCTTCCTCCCCATCACCTACATCTGGCATTTCTCCCCCTGCTATCCCCCCCAGCTCCCCACCCCCCACCATCCCTCCCCTATGTCCCCCCAACTGACCCCAGTGTGTAGTGCTCCCCTCCCTTTGTCCATGTGCTCTCATCGTTCAACACCCGCCTATGAGTGAGAACATGCGTTGTTTGATCTTCTGCTCCTCTGTCAGTTTGCTGAGAATGATGGTTTCCAGATTCATCCATGTCCCCACAAAGGACCCAACAAACATATGAAAAAATGCTCATCATCACTGGTCATAAGAGAAATGCAAATCAAATTATAACATTTAATATGCATTATCTATGCTTCCTATATCTGGTTGTCCCAAATGACATGAAATTAATATTTAAATGTCCATCTTTCCAAATCATACTACACAGAGAGCATGAGCATTCTGGTGGGGCAAGGAGAGATAAGATGACATGTGGAAGGAGGTTGGGCAAAGGAGGGAAGATTTTTTTTACCCAAAGTATTTTGAGCAATGTCCCTACCACATATATAACATATCGTCTTTCCCTTTGATATATAAAATTTAGCTTGCATGTTTTCATGCTTACTCCGAACATTTTCTGAGGATTATTTAACTTTTCATACTAAATCTCAGATATGCACCAATTTCAAATTATATTCTTATCATATTTTCAAAACAACCAAGTAGTAACAATTCTATGCTGTAATAGACAATATTT